CTGAATGGTTAGTTTATTTTAAAAACGTCAAATTGTTTTTCATTGATATTGAAGTTTTGAGGATATAAATAAAGCTTAAATTTTGTCATGAAATTTAAATTTTCTTTTTGAAATAAAATCCGTCTGTCCGTATACAAAACAAAATTATAATAGTAATAAAAATTCTGTCTGTCTATACCGAAACAATAAAAATCCCGTCTGTCCAAATTTAATAATAAAAATCCATACACAATATAAAATTAAACTTTTTTTAATAAAAAAATTTCTAATGTCTCAACAAGGACAAAAAAACCACAATCCACCTTACTGCTGCACAAAAATTTGAAATTTGTTCAATAAAACACTTGGTGGACAAAAGTTTACATCCAAAATTTCTTTTCAATTTATTTCAAAACTATGCTAATTAAAATATTGTAATCTTTATATCATTCAAAAGCTCTTGTTCTTGAGAATATGATCATGACAGTATGTCCCGAAGGGTTGAATATTGTATTGTCAACAATGGTTGGCCAACTAGATATTAAATAATTTTTTTTTGAAATAAAAAATAAGCCATTTATTTATCAACACTTTGTTATTTTTACATCATTTTTTATTTTTAAATTTAATGTCAATTAAATTTAAATTCGCAGTTCTTTCCCATTTTTCAAAATTGATTTAAAAATATTTTGTTATTTTTACATCGTTTTTTATTTTTTATCTTTTTTTATGACAAAGCTTCAAAATTTATGTAACAAACATATTCTCAAGAACAAGAGCTTTCGAATGATATAAAGATTACAATATTTTAGTTTTGAAATAAATTGAAAAGAAATTTTGGATGCAAACTTTTGTCCACCAAGTGTACCTTAACAGAGGGTGTCACTTTCCCAAACATAACAATTCATTATTTACCGCCAAATACCACAGCACATTTACAACCATATGATACAGGCATCATTAATAGTTTCAAAGCTCATTATAAAAGGTTATTTTGAAAAAAAGAATAAATAATTTTGATGATCCAATTAATATTTATCATGTAGTTATACTTGCCACCCAAACTCAAAAGGCTAAGTCCCAAATCCAATGCCCAAATCCCAAAGTCAAAAGTGGTACAAATCCCAAAGTTGTCCCAAATCCCAAAGCCAAATCCCAAAATGGCAATAGTTCTATATATAGATCAAAACAATAGATATATTCTTTTATTCTTACATAAAACACATTACTAGCAAAAAATTTATTGTAAATTTGTTATAAAAAACCATAAAAATGCAAAGATCCAAAAAAAAATTAGCCAATCAAATAATCTAACTTTCTACTCTATTAATATTTCATCAATATCAAAATCAATATCATCATGTTCAACAACAAATTCATCAGTTTATTAATAATTCATGATTTAAGTCAATGAGATTTTCTATGTATAAATGCAAATTATTTTCCTCATTTACACAAAAAATTTACATAGTCTATTCAGATTCCATAATATGTTACCGGATTAGACTTTAATGCAGATATTTTTGCCGAACCTCTTAATTCCGGATCCAAACTCTATTCTTGACGATTTATACAGTCTCGGTAAACTCCAGGGCAAAGCGATCCCCTTGGTATTCGGTTGCATCATCATATCATCGGGGGATGCAAGTCAGATTAACCTTGTGTATATGAGGAAGATGTGAGAATGACTGTAAAGTGTCCAAGGTAGTGTGCGTGCTTCAACGTCTGCAAATTTCTGATAATCAAACATCGTATATTGAAAGGTCTCTTTTTCAACAGTTGCTGCCTTGACATTCTTGTAACTATTTATTATTATTAATACTATTGTTATTATTAATATTGATTACGAAAAGCAAAATACACAATCTTGATGAGAATCTTATTACCCAGCAAGTTCTGCTCTGCGTTTTGATTTCAATTATAATATTTATAAAATCAAAAAAAGTAAAAATATATATATCAATACAAAAAAAAAAAAGTACCTCTGTCTTTAACACGTCTTTTTTAGAAGACCCACGTTCTGCCATCTTTGAAAAAATAAATTGTTTTTCCAAAAAAAAAAAAAAAAAAAAAAACAATTGGCGCCAAAAAAAAAAAACCAAATTAATAACGTTGGTCAACGTTTGTCAAGCAAATAATA